GAGTGAAAAACGGCAAAAAATTTTCCTTTAAAGACACGTTCTTAAGGATCTGAGCCACGGGGTACATCAAATAAACAAAAAGTTTCTTAATTATATAGTAAAAGCCAGCAGTTACAGTCTTCTTTTCTTTTTCTTTTCTATTACAAAATCTAGGTTGCAAACACTTATAATAACCACAGAAGCAGAACAACAGTCAAAATCGGATATAACGAGACTTCCGTCGGGTCATTTTTTCATCGTGATAACAAGTTATGGTCATGTTCTGGTCCGTAGCGAAATTCAGCCCGATTCAAAATCGGGCCGACACAGTTCGAGATAAGCACACTTTATTTCTTATTACATAAACAATGTTGATTAGATGTTGCTTATTGGTTGTGACATTCCTATTGCGAAATGGATTACGAAAAAAAAGTTGTACAAGACACTATTGATATTCAGTTTTATTGGAAAATAAAAAAGATTCAATGATAATACAATCTACTACTACATTCTGGTAACAATCGTCTAACATTGACTGTTTCTTATTATTGACATAAATGAACATTCGATATAGTGAGTACAGTGTTTCATGATACAAAAACACGCCCCATTACATTTGCGGAACGGGGATGTCAAATACATAAACGCACAAATATTCTCATATGACAATCTTAAAAATTATGAACAGTACAACATGCAATATCGGTGTGTCTTCGGACAGGACTGCTTTTCAACAGGGCGAACGACCAACTCGTCCTATGCCCAAAGATCAAACGAAGATTTTTGTATCTTACAGCCTTGTCTACATCCGATTGAAAAATCTTTGGAGTATTGTTAAGAGCAATGTGAAGCGGCGAATGCCAAAAATTGGAGCGATTTATGGTAGAGAATGGAAAATAACCCAGATTCTACTCTAATTAACTTAGTGAGTCAAAAACGGCGTTGTGAACTTGTAATTAAAAAGAATGGGCACGTGTATCTCGAATATATCTTTACTTCAATTTACAACCAGCATACATTGCTATTATAAAACAGTCATGCTAATCAGTAACGGATACTTGAACAGTATGCACGCTTCAACGCACGAAAGGTTTTAAATTCATCATAATTAATGTGCGGGTATGTATAATAATATTATAAACGGTTTAATTAAACTATAATATCCTTTGCTCAAGAACGCGAATAACGAAGCAAATGACTATAATTAATAGGCAAACTATTGTTGTTCAATTTGTTTAACCAAGACAAGCGACATTTACCCTGACCAGTAATCGAAGATCGCCCTGTTTAAGTTAGAATAGTTGATTTTGTGGTATAACAATTGTCGTTATTATACTTATATCGTAGGTACCCTTATTTGGCTGCAGAGAGTAGAGAAGGCGTATAAATTAGGTTCGCTTGAAATTTTAAGTTCAGTCGCAAAAAGCAATCACTCGTCTACAGATCAGACTACCGCAACAAAGAGATTAGGATTTTTATTTGAATAATAGAGAAACGCGCCATCAGTCAAAAGAGCAACGATATTGTTTATCACGATGAGAATGGTCACGTGTAATATGAAGTCGATAATTTAACACTAATACTAATTATTGATATTGCTAAATATCTGCCTCGTGGGAATGATACAAAAAAGAAGACTTATTGAGGGTTACCCGCCAAAGAAATCCAAAAACGCCACCTAGAGCGTGAGCAAAGAAAACAACTAAACTCGAAACCGAATAGGGGGCACTCTAACGGTACAAAAAACGCGAAGTTAAAAAAATTAATTACCAACCACCCGAGGGATGTACGTTAAAAATCGCATACACCACATGTCATGTAATGACCGCTGTTTATAACGACCGATTTTGCTTTGCCCGAGGTGGTCTTAAAACCGACCATTTCATACTTGAAAGTAACACGTCGCAAAACTGGCCATTTATGAAAAGGTGAAGCAATATGATCAAGTACTTGAAAATATATAGAGAACCAAAAGAATAACACGCAGATTACTTTTTGTGATGGTTTGCAAAGTTAAAAACGCGAGGTTAAAATCTTTAATTGAGTAAAAACTAGTATTTTAATAAAGAAAACGTTGTGTTAATATTATTGTGATTTTATATAATAAAATATTAATATTAAACATGAGTTGAAATAAACCCATGGATATTAATGATAAAGAATTGAGAAATAGCAGATAAATAATATGCTCAAGTTTTATAATATAATATGAACTTTTTATTTAAATATCGGCCAGAGTCTTTGGTTATGGTCAACAGTGTGACTGTAGGGAGGTCGACTGTATTGGATGGTCAAAAATGCACCCAACATTTTTCATTTTTTCCACTCTTACTTTTATTTGCTACTTAGCAATTTTTGAAGCATTAATTATTTAGATCACGTATGCGTCGTGTAAATGCTATTGGATGAATCACATAGTTTAACATCACGCGATTTATGGCTGTCGAACGTTATCACATTCGCTAGTCGTAAGACAACAAATCCTCAAATGTCAATGAAGTTTTGTCTAACTTGTCAGACAACTGTTGCAATTTCGCAATCAAATGTGGTATATGAGTCCTGGCGAAAGATGAGAGATAATGCTAAGGCAATTTTTAGAAAGATTTCTAATTAGCACATCATAAATATCTTGAACAGTCACACCATAACAGAAGGAGCTCCTTCACACATCCCAACTCCTTTGCTCACCTCATGAGTCTCATCATGCGACTTCACAAAATTGTGCGCTAATTCGTGACAAAAAGTAAGGAACCAATACGTCATCGCTTCAGGGCTGAACGTCACAGCGTTCGTATGATGTAACGTCTCATAAACGTATAGATTAAAGAATAATGACCCATTAAGATTAAACGCAGATGTCGTCCTATCTGTATCGTAGTAAACATGTAGTACATCTTGTGATAATTCGAATAAACCACCAAGCTCTTTGAGGAGGTCGATAAATTTTTCGAGGTCCTTCCTGTCTTTGATTTTCGCAAAGGTAATGTCATCCGTTGCATAAACTCTTATCTCGCTAACGTGACACATATAATTCAAGGGATGGTTTAAAGCATGAGATGCGGAAGAGCCTGTAAAGCAATTTACATGAATAATTAACAGCAATGAACGAATCTTCGATATTCGAATCCAAAGTGTACGCTTACCAGGCTTGTCGGCTTCGAGTATCAACCGATTTTGCACGTTAGACTTACAAGATAGCACAGCATTATGCAAGTCCCTCTCTAATCCACGCTGTTGTAATCTCGCAATCAAATGTGGTATATGAGTCCTGGCGAAAGATGAGAGATAATACTAAGGAAATTTTTAGAAAAGATTTCTATTTAGCACATCACAAACATCTTGAATGGTCACGCCACAACAGAAGAGGCTCCTTCACACACACACACACACACACACACACACACACACACACACACACACACACACCAGGCCCTGGCCCTGGCCCTCCTTTGCTCACCTCATGAGTCTCATTATGCGACTTCACAAAATTGTGCGCTAATTCGTGACAAAAAGTAAGGAACCAATACGTCATCGCTTCAGGGTTGAACGTCACAGCGTTCGTATCATGTAACGTCTCATAAACGTATAGATTAAAGAATAGTGACGCATTAAGATTAAACGCAGTCGTCGTCCCATCTGCATCATAGTAAACATGTAACACATCCTGTGATAACTTGAATAAACCACCGAGCTCTTTGAGGAGGTCGATAAATCTGCTGAGATCTTTCCTGTCTTTGATTTTCGCAGAAGTAATGTCAGCCGTTGCATAAACTCTTATGCCGTTAACTTGACATACAAAATTCAAGGGATGATTTAAAGCGTGGGACACGGAATAGCCTAAAAAACAGATTAAAGCAAATTTATAAGTGATTAGTTGACAGGAGTGAACGACTCTTCAATATTCTAATCCTTAGGCATACACTTACTAGGTTTGTCATCTACATAAGCTTCGAGTATCAACTGATCTTGCATGTTAGGCTTACAAGATAGCACAGCATTATGCAAGTCCCGCTCTAATTCGTTTGTATACTTTGGCATAGTTTTCAGGCCTAGATTCTTGTCCGACGTGTCGATGATAACCTTCCCTTGTTTCTTCTTCAGAATCCTATCTACTGGATAACCTTGTCTCCTGAGACTGTCCGTCGGTAAAGTCAGTATTGAGTACAAAATCAATGGATCGTTCAACCCGGGCTTTGTATAAATAGCTTCACATAAACTATATGCGATCTCCAAGTAAGCAACCTTACTTCCGACAATGCATAAAGTACGATTTGCTTCCACATAATTGAAAAAACATGAAGTGTCTTCGGTTATGTATTGCTTTGTTGGGATTAGGTAATAACGTTTCTCGATCTTTTTGACTTCTTTGACATGGATGTGTTTCTGTATCCAGTCGGCATCGAAACGGATTTCATGAGGCATACGATTATGATAAAAAAGAGGTGCACGTTGTTTTATGACTGATTCGACTTCCATGGATTTTTTTGAGGATACTTTTACTCCACTCGTATTATGCGTGACTCGTACATTCTTTTGAAGCCATACACTGCCAACCGTCTACATGCAAGGAAACATTAGCTAAATAAGCTTTGCCTAATACATATCAACGAGTGCATTTCAACAATTGTCCTCTTTTATTAAATACATTGTACTTACCTGATAAAGATCTTCAAGAACACGCTCTTCCGGACATGTAAAAACACCAAAAATTCTACACAAGTAAGGATCATCATTCAAAAAAATATCTTGCGCCCTCGCTAAGACATAACGCCTGATATGCTCGCCATCATCAGATGACTCCATTCTAACTCCGACGAACATGCGCGCTCGTTTCATTTCGGAAAGCAGTTCTTTATTTTGACGGATTAACTTAATGTGTACGGCGATAGTTCGGAGAATCTCGAGATATTTATCACCCATCGTCTCCCACATCTTAGCCGAAGAACGAACAAGCATTTGAGCAAGTTCTTCTGACGTAGGTGCATATTTGACGCCACATAGTTTGAGAAAGGTATGTGCTTTTTCACCAAAGTCAATATAATAGAAAAAGTCTTTATAGCTAATATTAGGTAGTGCCAATACGCGTAAATGGTAGGGATAATGTTTGTTATTCAATAAAATGGAGACGGCGTTAGCATATTTCGTAATTCCCTTAACTGTAAGCACATTTATCCGGGATCAGTACTTTACCTTTCATTGCGACTTAGTTTACGCGCAAATAAACATCTATTCGGACAGATATGTATAATAGTCTTCTTGTCCTCAACAGGAACAAATTTAGCATCTCCCAATTTCTCCCAATCTGAAGCCTCGAACGATCCTGTTTGCGTTGCAAGATATTCAAACATCTTCTTCGCCGCATCTTTATTCTTAGGCGGCTTATTGATCAGTCTTTCAATAAGCTTTAGCTTTGGTGGATCCGTCTTGACGCACAATATTGTAGCACTATTCAGTAGGCTCTTGTGCAAAACGTTAAAGCCCATGATACCACACGCAGAATTGGCAAAACAGTCGAGAGGTGTGACATACGTTGATGAATCAGCACACTGAAGAAATGATATGTTTACAGTGTCTTTGTAGTCGTTTTTATAGTGGATCTCAAATTTCTTAAGAAAGTATCCGATAGCCTTACGTCTGAGTTCAGGCGCGTTTGGAGGTGCAGCCAGTGTGAGAATTTTGAGTAAAGTTGGATATGTGCGGAGGCCGATATCTATTAGAAATTTGGCTACAAAATGTGTTTAAAATAAATGATATAGTGAGACTATATACTCGAATAATAGCATGCGATAGAAGAGGTTGTAATTCTTTTATTCCAAATTTAACTCACCTTCAGCTGTATTAGCACTCCATCTCTTCCATTTTATAATCGGTAATCCAAGCTCTCTCAATTCCGTCGCAGGTACATACAGATCTGATATCACATATTTTTTTTCTGGCTCTGCAGTCGCAACCGTCTTTTCATTCGTTTTATCATTTTCTCGTGATCGAGCATCCTTTTTGTCCTTTTTATCATTCTCTCGCGGCCATATCTGAATAGCCTTCTTAGCATCCTCTCGTGGCCATATTTGAATCATCTGTAATTTCTTCTTTTCTTCCGGTGTAATAGCATCGGTTCTCGTTGTAAAATGTTTTACGAGCTTCACGTAATCCCAATCTCCTCGGGTGAGTAATCGATCCGATATTAATTGCACGTCAATATGCTTGCGAACGCCAAGGTAAACGAGAAAATTTTCGGAAACTGACCGAGGTTTTTCTAAGTGAACCGTCGGTAAATCAGGAAGAAGAGTCAACGACGACAGATAGGCCTCGTAAGGTGCGTACATTCCGCATTTGGTAGGAATTATTTTCTTTTGGTGTATCAGCGCATGGAGAGACTTTTTATCCGCCGTAGTAAGATTCGCAAAGGCGCGACTGAGGGTACCAAGAAATTTTTCAGCAAAGACTTTATCGGATTCGAGTTTTTGGAGAGCTGTTGGTGTCCTGATGATGAAATCCACCCAATTGGGAATCGAAAGCTCTTTATAGTTACTAATATCGAAAAAATGACATTTTTTTTAAATTAGTGAAAACATATAGTGTCAATACAATGGGACGCATGCATACATACTTGAAGTACAATTCGAGCCCATTCTTCTTAGTAAATGTTTTCGTAATAGCATAGGGCAACATCTCAATAGGAAAATCATGCTCTTGCGGTATTAATTTGGGATTCAAAAAATATTTGAATTTGGCCAACGGCATTTTATTACCGTTAACAATGGTCACGGCCCGAAGTAAAAATCGAGACTTTTCCGCGTCCGATACTATATTATTCGGACAATAGCCAATCCACCATTGCATAAGAGCTGTCATCTCTGTCTCGGTCAACGTTCGATCCTGCAACTCTGTAGTAACCACATCATCCAAGGTGATGTCTGTAATCATCGCTTGTTCTTTAGCCTTGGCAAAAAACTTTTCACAGCTATCCAGTACACTCTTTGGAACGAGAGGGATTATCTTGATGAATCCTTCCATGTTCTGGTTGGGTAACCTAACAAAGTTAATAGGGAGAACACCGAGGGAAGAAATAACAGGAAGATGTTTTTTAGAGCACGAGAAAAATGTCTTTTCCATTATTGTGCTCACACGATCATTGGGCGTGCTTTGACGAAATGTGAAATAAGTAAGAGAGTATGTGCCTCTTTTGTAGACCGATTCGCGTGCCGCTTGTAATTCATTGTCATCAAGGGAGATGTTGCACATAATTCTGCTGTCATAGAGGCAGGATACTTGGTCCATTTGATCTTCGTATAATATGCGAGAAAGCACACCCGCTATCGATAATAGATCCTCATTGTACTCGGCCAACGTTTTATTCACCAGATCTATCGACTCGCGCTCGACCTACACGTTGACAAGAAAGCATATATTATTACGATAAGTAACATTATTGAGAGTGTTACACTCACTTGCCAAAATTATTTCCGGAAATAATTTTGCAGGTGAGCGTAACTTGATAATCATGTCGAGTGCGGGCAACTAGTACTTACTGTAGGAATAAACCTTCCCGCCAAGTGCGATACATATCCTGTCGTTTGGTGCGTCGGGAAACCAATATATATCCTACCTTGTTTCGGATATGTTGACAAACCTTTGAATATCTCGGGAACATCCATTTCTTTCTTTTCAGCCGCAGAAAAGTTACGTTCATCAAATTCTGGAAACAGCATTTGAAGTGTTGTCGTTCTTGGTGGTTTCTTTTTAGTAGAATGTTCCATATCTGCTGAGAATGCTTCCGTCACGGATACATCTAGATGGCCAGTTGCTATGTAGAGAGAGATACTCGCTTCCTTTGTATCGTGACTGGTAATTGCATTTGATGTTGTGACGAGACGTTCGACTCTCAATTCTACACGTTGCAAATCAACCGCTTTGAGATGAAATATCCTACGTGGTGAGTATGTGTGCATATCATTGGCTATTTGAACCACCCGTGAATCCATTGCTTTCTTAGAAAGGCTTAAGATTACTGTGTCGTCTATGTATACGCATATCTCATGAAGGTTTCCAGTGAAGCCCTAATATAATCGGATGCGGAACATAAGCGCGGTACAAAACGAGACGTCTAAGAGTATCACAGTGGTTATCACTCACCATGGACGTTGCCAAGAATTTTCCAAACTCGTCAGTTGTCGGAATCTGTTGATTCATAGCGTCATATATAAATTATAATCATATGGCGATGTTCTAGCAATGTTTTCATGGCTTCACTTACGTCCATGGGCTCCTTGACATCCATCAAGAAAGTCGTCCACTGATCATCATCGGAATCGATCGGTCCCAACTTGGCAAACAGTTGACAACCACGCCAATAGAATGCCATGCCCTGGCCACCAGAGGAGACACTATGAAGAGATGATACAAATATAAGGTATGGTTGTAATAAACTTTCATTGATAACAATGATTGTATACTCACAATGGTTCCTCGCATACTGAAAATAATGAATAAAATCCAACACCGAATGCACCAATCTGCGAATAAAAGTGAAGAAGGTTAGCACTCGTACGTAAGCGCGGGTTTTTAATTATATAACCTCATCCCACCTTTTGCTCATCAGGGTTTCCCTCGGCTATTTTCTTCAAACGATCCCAATCCTGTGTTCTGAATGCAAATCCATTGTTTTTGAACAATATCCTAGTGCATTTTTTTCCATTCAAGCCTTTACTCTCTGCCCCTGTTTCAAAAACTATTTCTATCTTTGATGACTTTGCGTCATCTGTTGTAACAAAAAATACCAATATTGAGTACGGATATAAGCATGTATGCGTAAGTTAACCACAAATTAACGAACCTGCATTTTGCATCAATTCTCTGAATACTACGAATTTTGCAGAATATCTAAATATAAAATGATAGGCGTTGTTGATTGTTCACTGTTAGCCAACATTATTGCCAATTGATAGACTATACTAACTCCTTTATAGAATACAAACCTAGCAAGGATCTTGTCAATCAAGTGTCTCTGATTGACTTCCACTCTTTCTTCTACGCTATTAGCTAGCACTTGAAGTCTCCGCACATCGAGCGACATTTTCAAGCAATCCTAATTATTATCCTCGATATAGACATGCCCACTTATTTATATTGAATTTGATCAGGTAAATAATAATTTCGCGCTCGTAATGACACGCAGCAGCCATCTGTTATTGTCCTGGCACTCGATTTGGAAAATTAGCTGCATATTGATAGAACATGTAGTCAGCAGATGAATTTATTATGCATACACACAAATCGAAGTAGTACTGCGAGACAAACATTGAATCATTACAGATATTTTATTATAACTTTGACCATGTTAAAAGAATCGTATATAGCAAGGATGACAAAAACTTATTATTTTCACCGATAAGGCAAGCGAATTTAATATTTACCATTATCCTGTTCAATAAGCTCGGTTTTCGAAGGTAAACTTAGAGGCTGTGGCTGCGTAACATGCCGGAGGAGATTCCGGCCAGCAAATCAAATTTGAGGGTTTCCGCCGCTCCACTGTTAAATGACAACCGTAGTTGATAGATAGGGGTTTTCTACTTAAAAGGATGCGACTACGGATTGTTTGATGCTGCGAACAGTCCACGTCACATTTAATGGCGAGCCTGTCAATTTTCACTAAATATTAAGGAAACCAAACCTTGATGAAAAAACATTACCAACAAATCTAAACTCTCTGCTCGACTCGCAATTCTCCTCAACCGACTATTGTTATCTTTCGCTTCTTGCCCTTTGCAACGTGTATTGTTATTCATGAGGCGTAGATTGATACTGTATTTAACCTGTGAGAGTATCAATATTTGCGTTAACATAGTTTATATAATAGTAATACTGATTTCGTAAATAAAAATATAATAATAATAAAGTGAGATCGATAATTCGGTTGACATTCTATCAGACTTGGGTGATCCTTCTTAGCAAAGATTATGGTTCCATTTCTTTTTACGTTGCTATGAACACGGACATGATAAAATATTGTCAGGTAGACTAAGGAATTAAAATCACTTTTTTATTTTCATTTTGGACGTGCTGATTTTCTAATGTTTCATTACAAAGATTGCTTACAAAACTTTACGAAATTGATTATTCGATGGAATCGTCTACGTTCACTGTCTTGATATCATACAAAAATCTTATTTCTTTGTAGCTCTTTTTTTGCTTCACATATCCTTGTTTGGGTGCCTGATCAACTCTTGTCCGACATTTTTATCTGGTAACTCGGAGTCACGTGTTGATAATTTTGACAGTAGTGGATGTCAAGAAATTATTACCCGCAAATTAAGCATATGACGCATGGTCAATTATGCTAAATCTCATGAATATGTAGAAAAGAAGTAATAGATTAAACACTGCATGAGAGTTGGATATGAGATTACTTGTAGCACATATCCGCTCGCTGCTATGTTAGTAACGAGTCCATAGATCGAAGAGTGTTGTCACGTGGTTATATAGTCCATAATTCAAATTGGGGTAATAACAATATTTTTATGATCGGACGCCAATTATACTTGACAATAATTTTTTCTCCAATACGGGTTAAAATGACATATCTTACATACAAGAGAACTAGTCAGATCAGAGACGCTCATTGGTAGCCACTGCGAATAGAATGAATTGCAGTGGCTTTCGGTATAAGCGATTATCTCTTATTCGTTCATTGTGATAAAACGACATGAGGATTCGTTGACGCAAATACCAAACGAGGCGTCGACAATCGTATCATGAAAATAGTTGTGTCATTCACGTTGTCTGGTCTTCTTCTGTGCCAAGTAAAGAGCGCGACATTATTGTGACGTTGTATCTTAAATTTCGTTTGTAGGGATAAAATAATACACCTTGATACAAGGGGGGTTATTTTTGTCCTTTTACAGAATTATTGGTTGAAATTCCTGCAAAATTATTGGGCATATGATTGCTGTCGAATTACTGGCAGTGATTAGTCATGTGAAAAATGATATAATCTAAGAGCAATTAGTATGATTGGTTGCGTCGAAATGAGGTAAGCGTCTTGGTTGGATCTGACATGAGCATGATAAATTGGGGGCATTATCATTTAACCAAGTAATAAACGAGGATTGGTACACTACTAGGAATGGCGTATGTACATATATGGATATTATACCAATAGTAGGTACTTACTTTTGAACAAACAAACAGCGAATAATTTCCCATTTCGGATATGCAGGCATACATTATTATTAAGTCGTCGCCACACCCTGGAGTTACCATGTGGAGATCGTGTCTTAGCACCCCCATTATCAACTCATGATTGTGACCAAATAAGTCAAACGTGCTCGGCACATATCGACGTTGGTTTGGTAATATTGATATTGTTTGGTAATTGTTGTTTATCTTGAATTCCATTGGTTGTATTGGCAGGGGATGAGAATGCTTCGATTTGTTCTTTGATCTTTGATGTTACTTTTTCTTGCTAAGCGACCGCTATATTGAATTTTTATACTCACAATGCTTAGCCTGATATGTAATATATCTACAATGAGGCGGGAAGAAATCCGTGGGGTTTACTGGGATAGACAAATGGGGCGAGTGATCCGCGCTGGCGGGATGTTTTCCCATCATGCTCATCCGTGTCTGAGGGATTTGCCTTCTTTATTAATCTATCCGTGCCTGAGGCCTTTTCGCAAATAAATTCGGCAATCATTATCGATTCACACAAAGATGGTGTACAATAAAGAGATGTATGGGAAAGACAAATCACACAATACATATGTATTTACTTTTTTGGGGTCGATATACGTTATACTAGTTGCAGTATAAATAACTGATACATATGAGCCGCATGTGTTGTGTTTGATTTACATTATAAATCTATTAATATATTAAACCCGTTTCACATTCAATACATCAAATGTTTTCAAAAAAAGTAACTTGTAATTAACACTTATATGCAGCAATACCAATCACAATCGACTCGAATAAGATATAAATACCGCCCGAAAGGATGTCTGCCCTAACTCTCTCCACTCTTGTTTCAAGTAACTGAGGAGTTCTGTATTTGTACAAAATACAAAAAAAAAAAGAGTTCATTGATCAATTATTATAACAAGACCAAAAAATTCTATAATCGAACAAATTCGTAACGACATTATATAAAACAAAAAAACGACAAATATCGAAACGCAACGACAATATTATAACGAAACGAGATACTTGATTTTTCGAATTTTAACTACGATACGCTTACGATAAATTACTTTTAAAGTAACGAAACAACAATCGAAACTAAAAAAATCTTAACTTTCGAACTACAAAAAGACCAGAGTCAAAATGAAAAACACAATGTTCTCACGCAAAAACAAGATCCACAACCCATTCAAACGTCGACATACATCCAAGACAGCCGCTGAACCAATGTCACCCATGGATTTCGATTTCGAGTTTTCAACAACATTCACCCCTACTGCTTTTTCATCACGTCGAAGCTCGATTTACTGCAGTTCACCCATGGCAACGAGTCCACGAATTAACGCATATCCGTCTTTCTCTCCATTCAACTATTCAACGATGCCTACATGTCAACATCATCCATTTAATCATTATCATAATTGTCAAAGGCACTCTGGAAGAAAGCATGGAAAACAACAAAAGGGAGAAAAAGGAGAACAGCAACAGTATAATCCGAGACGAAGTATTACAGGATTTGTGCTATGGTGGAGATTGACTTGGGTTAAAGTTGAACGGACTTTCCGTTAAGTAGAGTAAGACGATATTCGATGAGTAAAATATAATTGGATAATAACGACAGGAAATCGTTGGGGTTGCGTCGAGTCTTTAGCATAAGCAAGATTTTATTTACATTTTATGCTCTTCGCTTTTCCATCTTTCTGGGCCGTTACGTTTAAAAAACTCATTCGTCAAATCGCATCTTTCTCTTACTGGCAAAAGACATTTACAAACATTCTCAAACACCCATGCAATTTTTCACCTTATGCTGGATCCTAATTATTCTACGCAATCATCTTGTAAATGAACAATGAACACTCTCGGATTGTATTTGTTTATAGTCTCTATTCTCTTTTCATTTCCTTTTTTAGTAAATAGGTATTCGTTGATCCATAGACGATTGGGATGACAAAATGGGGTTATCATATCAGCGAGCTATCGTTCATATGAAAAGAACGATTTTTTTATATAGGTTATTTGGATGTTTATTATAGACTTGTATTTCATTAGTTTGAGTATTGGTTATTTATTATCATCATTTCACTTGTTGATAGGTTTTTCATGGGTTTATTGTTATTTTTTTTTCTTTCAAGTCTGGAATATTGATTCCTTTTTTCTTTCACAATCATGTCTTTTTCTTTTTTTACTTTCAAACGCTTTAAATTTTTCATAGACAAAAGTATGCATGAAAACGAAATTCTCAAACTCACTTGAAATCTTTTTGTAAATAACTAAAGATAAACGAGCATCATATTTGATCTCATTGACCAAAAATTTGTTAACAGATTATTCGTGTTTCATGTTTCTTTTGTCTGTTTGATCTATCGCTCTTCTCTAAATTACGTCATTGATATTCCCAATATTTGCAATCATTCCTTTCCTTTCACAAACACAGTTGTTTTTTTTTTTACTTATGAATTTAATAATATAGACTTTTGCATTGTACATTTCTTATAGAAACGACGAAGCACAGAAATGATGTTCACCTTTCATATGAAAGTGTTCTCATCTGTGCTTCTGATATGTAGACATATGACAAAAAAAAAAAGATTAAGCAGCGCTTTCTTAAAATAGAATGTTAATAGAATATATAGAATAATAATTACTTAATATGCCTTTTTTTCTAATTTGTATGCCTTGTTTGCGTTTGATATTTGGAGGTATTTTTTAGTCGAATAAACAAAGATGGTTTGGAATATACGGCATATGTTTATGTGCAGAGTGCGATGATATGCTTTGTTCTTGTGCATTCATGTGACTAGACGAAATTAAAAATCTGTGATTGACATGGAAACCAATGAACTAAAAGCAATAATACTTGTGTGGCAAAAACGAACGACATTACAGATGGATGGCAGTTCATGCAGAAAAGCGAACGGAAGTATGATACCTCGGAAGAGACATCAATGACGATTGAATCACAAACATAGACATCTAGAAGTTACACGAAATGGGGCTAGTGTTCTATATATACATATGTATTCTCTACTTAACATCTGAATGCACAATGCGTTCACTTGGCATTCTCTAGAGATTAGCAATCCAGACGGACATTCCCCAACGACGCCAAATAAAGCATATATTTGGACACTGCCGCAATGATGCTCATGCCTGTTCTTCGTACATATTCCATTGTAAGAATTAACAATTCAAATGGACGCCCACACAATCTTGGCATCATTCGGAATATGCACCAATGCGTAGTATTTTCTAGAAGCCTAAATCATAACTAAAAAGTGTTGCTTTGTTCATACGAACTGAGTTAACATGAGAGCACAATATCATTTATACGTTACCAATAAAATTTCACCCCAATTCTTCCTTCACTCCCGAACCTTAGCTTAAATTTAAGAATGGTCAAATGACAAAGAATGAACATTATATAACGTATTTGCATAAAGATGTCTTTGACTTTTTCGCCGACAAAGACCAAACCCATGTGATAGTGCATATTAATATTAATTTCAGGTTAAACCTCTGATCACTTCTTAACTACTTACGTTGTTCAGTTTGAACTTTTTCCGTAGTCTTTCTCCCCACTTTTCTTACACTCGGAATATAATAGTAAGAACGCTCTTATTTGTTCCATAGTCGGATTAAAATTTTCCGTTATCCCCATTTGGAAATTTACATAATAATACCAGAAATTTTCTATTTCGAACGTTGTAAAAGTTATGTACGTATATTTTTTACTGTACATATTGAACAATTTGGTAATTACCATAGAAACCAATTTTCCAGCCGTTGGTTCTCAAACATTATATGTATTCGGCACGCTATTCTTATCTCGGACATGCAGTCTCACGAAAATAATTACTATACTGTCGGAAATTAGTCACACTGTAGATGGTATAAATACATATGCAACGCTCCGCTAATGGTAAAAAACAGTGGGAAATATTAATAAAAATATTCGACGTTTGACAGTTGATACTTTGCACTAATTGTTCATAAGCACAATATCTATGATCTCTAATCTATAGGTTATGGCAGTATTAAACAAGTTACACCAATATTTGACAGCTAGGCAAAGTGCGTTACACTTCTCTGTGCATAGTTTCACGTAGAATAAAAAATAGAAAGACAAATCGTGAAAAATGAACCTTCTCTTCGGACAAGATGAGATGTTTAAACAAATATGATTGATAATTACCTTATTTGGGCGTCGAATCTAGCTTTAAAGTCTAACGTTGGCTGAAACAGATAATG